TGCCTTGCTGCTCCCAAGCAAGCTATTTAGCACCGCACAACACAATTGTATCAGTGTTGGGTAGGACCACAACATATGCAGTGTTGTTGGTCCTTTGATGAAGTGAGAGGGCAATTCATTAGCAGACCTAATCAAGAAACTTTGTAGTAAACTAGTCCGATTATGTGGTCGGTTGAATTAGTGTGAACAAACAGAAGTCCATGTCTCAAGCATAAATGCTACTTACCTAACAGACATAATTCTTTTGAATTGAATCACCTCTGGTGGTCCTTTTGTTGTCTGTTACCTAGAGGAGGTAGGGAAGAGTTCCGTGAGAAATCTTTCGAGGATCGATGTGTTGCGTGAGAAGGACGACAAGCCCATGTGATTTCTCAAAATCAAGTGTCCCTCATTGGAGCCCATCTCAGTGCCCTCTTCACCAATCATTTCATGTAGCTGTTGATTTTTTGGATACCCTTGATCTATATATACACATGACCAAGTTCATCATGAGCAACTCAAGTCTTCACCTTCTCAAGCTTCAAAGCTTTCTCTGCTTTCCAAATCCAGGTCCTTTGAATTCCTTCTCTTCTTCTTTTGTCATTTGAGAATATATAAGACCATGGGTTTCCGGTTGCCTGCAATTGTTAATGCAAAGAGAAGTCTCATTCGATCTCTATCTAGTTCAAGCCAGACAGCAGATTCAAAGACTTTAGATATCCCAAAAGGCTACTTTGCAGTCTATGTTGGAGAGAGCCAGAAGAAGCGGTTTGTGATTCCGATATCATATTTGAATGAGCCTTTATTCCTGGATTTGTTGAGTCAAGCTGAAGAAGAATTCGGATATGATCATCCTATGGGAGGTATCACAATCCCCTGCAGTGAAAACACCTTCCTTGATCTCACTTCCCGCTTAAGTGTGTGAGTGAACGCGAATCGGTCATCCTTTCTATCCGAACCATCCTCATTTCAGAGTTCACTGAGCCAAGATGAAAGAATTTGGATATGATCATATCCAAAGCATCCTCATTTCAGAACTCACTGAGTTGGGATGAAGAAGAGGCTACCACTGATCATCCATGGAATCAACTCACATCTTGTGGTGAAAGCAAACCTTCTCAAATCCTGAAGCTGCTTCTGGGCTGAGCAGAAACATAGAAATTTATGACGCAGACAAGTGATGATATCATGAACTCCCTAGAACCATTGGTCCAAATATCATCCCCCCACCCAAAGGCAGTCAAATTCTGTCTTTCAAACCTACGTAAACTTCTTTGTTGTTCTCCAGGAGCAATATACAATCTATTTGAAATCCTCATCCTTTCTTGTCTTATAGTTTGCATTATAGTATTATCTTCTTGTAGCTCTTGTTATGTAGTTAACCCCCAAATGGCAGCAGATGTGCACAAGAGTGTAAACTTCTTTGTTGTTCTCATCCTTTCTTGTCTTATAGTTTGCATTATAGTATTATCTTCTTGTAGCTCTTGTTATGTAGTTAACCCCCAAATGGCAGCAGATGTGCACAAGAATTCGACTAAAATGCTTACCATACAACTTTTTACATGGTTCCTCATACAGATTGGGGGATCCTTTCCCAA